TCATTGTGAATCTATAATCTTCTGATCAGGAGAGATTTTAAACTGCTAAACTGTGTGGCTAGGACTAACGTGGCAGCCTTGACTGCTGACTCTGCCCCTTTCAGCTTCCCAACATGGTGAAGGTACCCAGGAGAGTCACGCTTACCCTGCCAACTCTGGGGTCCATGCTGCCACCAGGTAGCATACAGCTGGCCCACAAAGCTTTTTTGTCTGTATGAGTAAAAGCTAAATTCGCCATGCAGTGTGCTGCCCAGCTTGGAGACACCTCTGTGTATCAAGGCGGGAATCCACCATGCTGTGCTCAAGCCCGAATGCTGCGGCATCTCTGTACTATGGCCCAACTGAAAGACATAAGTAGGAAGCTGTTTTTGGCTCTGTTATTGTGTGTTTAGAAACCCTTTTTAAACTCTTTTAGACCTTATGGAAATTCGGGAGCCCCACGTTGGGTGCCAAATGTAGTCAAAAGAATTCCTGTGTCCCACCTAGTTAAAATCTTTCTTTTTGATTAGATAGAAAAGAAGAAGTGCTGTGAGATGTCTTTCTGTATGTGGTGAATATGAGTTGCTGTGATTGGATAATAAAGAAACTGCTCTGGCCTATGGTGAGTCAGGTTACAGCCAGACAGGAAATCCAAGAGAGAGACAGGAAGGAGAAAGGAGAATAAGAGGAGACACCAGCCTGCTAACCAAGGAGCAACATGCCAACAGACCAGTAATGCCACGGCCATGTGGCAATACATAGATTAATAGAAATGAGTCAATTTAAGATGATAGAGCTAACTAGCAAGAATTCTTAGCCATAGACCATACAGTTTGTAATTAATATTAAGCCTCTGAATGATTATTTTATAAGCAGTCACGGGACTGCAGGTGAGAGAGATTTGTCCTGACTGTGGACTGGGCAGGACACAGGAAATCTTTCGACTACAGGAACTGGCATGTCTCTATCATAAGAAGCTTCTTTATTAAAATGCCATATTCTCAGATCTCTGAAGCATTTGAGGATCAGGGGATCATTATCTGTTAGGTATATATCTAGACTAGACAAATGTTGTTTAGGATTAACTTTGAGAACATATGTAAGCTAAATTTTATCAAAGAAGTTGATCCTTGATGAGGTAACTGACAGCTAATTTGTATGTCTTAGTACATTATAAGACATAACAGTGTTCTATATGACTTAGTTTATCAAATTAGCTACAGCTTACCAATGTTAGTAAAAGCAAGAAGGTTAGACATATATTTTTATATTGGCCTTTGTTAGCCTGAATAGACCTTAGATAAGGAGAGACCCTTTATCAGACTGTTTAGGTCATTGTAGGAATATCTCAGTCTCTGGTGTTCAGCTGTGGTCGTAAGACATAGAGCATAATCATAATCTGTGCAAGGCAAAACCAAGTTTTAACATTGTAAACAATTTAGTGTTTTAAAAATCAACACCAAGGGGTTTACTGTTATGCTACGAAATCTGGCTGCCAGCAAAATGCATCCCTGTACATGAATGAACGGAGGTGCAGCTTTAATACCTCAGTAGATCAGCATTTTTTTTAAATCCTACCTTTTATAAACCTTGTTTTTTAGGACAGGACAGGAATTATCATACAGAAATCCATCCTAATCTAAAATACCTTGGATACCTGTTGTCTCCTTGTGGGGCCACTCCATGTGGTCACCTCTGTTTAAGATGGCGGTGAAGTCATATGACCTCCATCTTTTCCAACCTCAGTCAAAATGGCTGCTCATGTGGCTGACTGTACTTAATTGAGGCAGTGGCAGGCCATGTGCTGTGTTCCAGAGCAGTTCCAATGTGGAGTTACCAGTTTTAAGCTAACTTTTTTGTTAATAGCAGCGGCTGACACATGGAACACATGGAACATGTACAGCCAGGCATCTAAGGCCAGTCAGAAACAAGCATGCAGTGGCCACACATTTACACATCCAACTGAAGTCAACATACAGGCACAGATCCATCCATACACACAGAACAGGAGGGACCTTTTTAACAGAAAGACAGACAAAACTTTCCGAGGGAAACCATGTCAGGAACCCTGTCTCGAAAAACCAAAAAAAAAAAAAAAAAATCCTGAAATAAGAGTTTACAGTATAAGAAACCATAGGAATAAAAGACTTTTTTTTTTTTGTAGTGAGGAAATTGAGAGTAAAAAGCAAGGTCTGCAGGCCACAAGAGCCAGAGCCACCTAGAGGATACAATTGGCTGGAGCTTAAGCTGTGGGTCTCCCTGGCTGTTGGGGGATGGGAGTGAACAGAGGCAGACAAAGAGAATGGGTCTGTTATGGGAAGAATCCCTGCAAGGTCAGACCAAGCTCCAGGCAAAGTTGTCGCCCTTCATTGGGCCCTGCCAAGGTATGCCACTAAGAGAAAACATCAGAAGCAGCAGAGTGAGTATGTCAGGGAAACTGGGAGGGTGATCGAGCAAAGGGTCATCTTGGAGCCAAGACATGAGAAGCAGGTAGATTAACAGGAACTGGGGAAAGCCGTGGAGATGCAGGCAAACAACAAACAGGGAAGGGGCAGGAATGCAAAGCTTTTAACCCTGGATGAGGGAGCTCAAACCAATGTATGGTGTGAGACAGCCCCAATTTGGATAAATTTTGTAGAAAATGCCCCGGGTGTCTGGGGATTGAACTTGGACCCACAAGTGTTCATTCACAAGCATTTATCCAGAGACCAGAGGGTACAGAACCATGTCAGGTTCAATAAACCTATGGCTCGGAGCAGTGTGTGGGATTGTCTTTGTGCAGAACATCTCCCACATGAGGGAACCCCAAGGGGCAGGGATTGTTCCTGCTTCAGAACAGCAAGAGCTACCTGGCATGGAAGTGACCTTGGAAGGCAATCCGGAAGCATTTGGCCCAGAGGGGTCAAAGTCTCAGCAGAGATCCTGGATCTCTTGTAGGCTTTTGGTTTATAAATGGGTGATTTATCCAGCCAAAGTCAGTCTGGTGTGGCAGAGGTGAGGGGGTGGTTGGGTAAGAGGGAGAGCAGCTTCACACAACCATGTGGTTGTGGAAAACACTGGACTTAGGCTCAACACCAGATGATAAGTAGGTTTCTCTGCTGACGCAATAAGCCAAATTGAGCCTAATTAAAAGTAAAGGACCAGGTTTAGCCTGAGCAAAGCATTCCCTGGTGATCTAGAGGGAAGAGGAGAAATCACAGGGCAGGTCTAATGGACCAGAGCTTAAATACCCTGTAGGCGTGGTCTGTAGGCTCGAGGGGAGGAGCTGCCACTTGGTGGACTTTCTGAGAGGGGGCAAGGTTTGGAATGTGGGAGAGTGAGGCTGGACCCGAGCTTCCAACTTAAAACAATAAAATGTCATGAAACCGCTTCCATGTTGGAACATGAAATTTGGGGTAACCTAAATCTGTGTTCCTAGACCATGATCACTTAAAAATGACTCCACAATAACTATTTTATTTCCTTTAAGACACCGGTTCTCAACTTTTGGTGGGAGGGGGGACTAAGGACTCTTTCACAGGAGTCATATATCAGACACCCTGCATATCAGATACTTACATTACAATTCATAAAGTAGCAAAATTACAGTTATAAAGTAGCAGTGAAATAATTTTATGGTTAGGAGTCACCACAACATGAGGAACAATATTAGAAGGTCAGAGCATTAGGAAGATGGAGAACTATGGCTTTAAGATGGGAACTGTGGTTTCTTTGTCATGACAGCACATGGTCATCTCAGAAAAAGAAGTCAGACTTTCCCTGTCTCACTAGCTCCCAATAATGACATGGAGACTTCTTATTAATTATGAAAACTTGGCCTTAGCTTAGATTTGTTTCCGACTAGCTCTTAAAACTTAAATTAACTCATTTATACTAATCTATTTTCTGTTACATGGCTCATTACCTCTCCTCAGTACCTTATGTCCAATTTGCTCCATACCATGCTGGTGAATCCTCTGCCTCTCAGATCTTCCCTCAGAGGTCCTTTCTCTCCCTGGAAGTCCTGCCTATTCTCTCCTGCCTAGCTGTTGGCCATTCAGCTCTTTACTAAAACAATCAGAAGGTGCCTTGGCAGAGACACATCTTCACAGTGTACAACAAGATTATCCCACAACAAATCCATTTTATGACAAAGGAAGTCTGAAGTTGACAGATAACCACAGGATCTACTGATCAGATGTTCTTCAGTACCAGAAGAGAACAAGAGAAAAGTTCCTGTCACTTACTGTTAAAACCTCAGTAAGACATGAGAGAGCACTGGAGGTTGGTCATGCAGACTATGGAGCCCAAGAAGTTTCAGAGAACAAAATTAGCAATGTTTTAGCAAAAAAATGTGGCTGCTCCTGCCTTGTCCTAAAAATTTGCCTGAGGCTAAATTTTCAAGTAATGGCTTAATTTATTTTGTGGAGGAGATTTCAAGAGAATCTAATATTGCCTCTGTAGTGTGGTTATTAGTAATCACTCCTAGGCTGGCACACAATGAAAAAGAGCAAGTGTGTGTGTGTGTGTGGGAATCCCATACAATACACACTCTGAAGTGAAAAACAGCACCACAGCCAGGATTTGAGCTGAGAGAGATGAGATCAATGTGAGGTATGATTTTAGGATTGTGGGAAGGGTACCCGAGGAATCTGCCTGGAGCCTGACCTGCCCCAACCCATGACCTTGACTTATTTTTGAGAACACTCTGACCCTCCCTGACCCTCCCTACCCCCACCCCCCAGAACCCCTCTGCCCTCCCTGGTCACATGGCGACACACCTGTTTCTTGAGATGATTCTTTTTTCTTTACTTCCTTATCGCTACATTGTCTCTCTTCTGCAAACCTCTTTTGCAACTACTTACTATTTTACTCCTTAAAAGGGGCCCAAGAGATGGACTTGGGGCTGCTCTTTTTTTTTTTTTTAAATCTGTCACTAAAATTTAATCAATGCCTGTTATGGAAAAAAATGTTTATTTTGCAATTATTTTAATTTAGAAATAGAAAACCTCTTGAGGAGGAGGAAAGAAAAACACAAAGTATACAGGCAACTTTTTACTTCATGAGCTCACACTCTCATTTGTTCACTAGTTCCCACGAAGAGAAAGCACTCAGCCACCCACAATAATGTTATTAATAGGGATGTGGATCAGTTTCACAAAGAAGCCAATGAATCCCATGATAGCAAATCCTATGGCTGTGGCCATGGCAATCTTCTGGAATTCTTTTCTATCGGGTTTGGTGCATCTCTTAACCAGCCGAATTGAGTCCTTCACAAACTGCCGACTTGGCTCAACAAACTGCATTACCTGATCTATGGCTGATTGCGGGATGGTGGTTTGAGAAGGCAGAGACACGTAGCTTAGGAGAGGATTTAGCTCAACGGAACCAGAAGCTGGTTATCCCGGGGTTGTTCTTTTTAACCCAACTTAAAAGACAGTCTCTAGTTAGCTCTTGGGTGCACCCCAACAAAAATCAAGCTTTCTTGAAATTTGGCCCCAAATTGTGTCAGTGGTCTTATTCTTGTAGGTGGGATTAACGTGCCCTTGGGGCAAAACCCCACCCAGCTAATCGGCTCATCTGAGAAAGGAAAATACTTAGGGAATTTCCTGTTCCTAAAAAGCATCAACAAAGGAAGGCTGTTGTAAATGTGACTCAAAGGGCCAGGCTGACCCAAGCAGGCACCTGAACTTGGCCCTGTCACCCACATTCTCCTGGCTTTAGAGTGATGAAGGATCCAGGAGTAAACGGGTTATAGAATCTTTCTTCATGGTTAAAGTGGGCTGCCACTGAGGCCAGGCAACATGTGACAGGGCAGGCCCTGCATGAAGGCCCTGAGAGGTCATTGCATAAAGCTGTGAAAGGGAAACCCGGATTGCTTTTGAGACCCCAAGATGTCAGAGGTGCCAGAGCTGTGAGATGTCTGCCAAGGAGAACTGCACACTGGGAGTGGAACCAGTGAGAGAGAGAGACGCATCTCACAGTGAAAGGGAAAATCAGTAGCCATCTTGAGAGACGCTTCCCCCTCCCCTCCTCTAATTTGCTGACCAGCAGTTTTAGAAGTGACCAGAAGTTGAACTTATAAGGCTGGGACAATAAATCTATGTACCCTGGACTTGGCAAAACAAGATATGGGGAGTAATGGGCTCCACTGACCAGAAGTTGACCTCAGAGGAGAGTAGGACTGAAACAATAAATCTGAATGTCTATATCCTGGGTTCAACAAAAGCAGGACATAGGGAGTAAAAACTTATGTCTCTGTAGACACCCTGAGTCCTGTTAGCCACCAGTAACCTCATGCTTATAGTTAAGCCTGTAACTTTGAAGAACTACTTCACCCCTATCCCCCTCGTCCAATCCCAAGCTGCATGTAAACCTTTCCCATATAAACCCCTTAAAGTGAGTGCTGGGGCCGTCCTCCTCTACCTGCTTTGTTGGATGTTGGATGCGCAGACCAAGTCCCGGGCTTGCTTGTTTTGTTATTAAAAAACCTCTGGGTGCTTGCATCGGATATCGGCTCTGTGGTGGCCTTGCTTGGGGGTCTTGTGATCTGGGCACAACAACTGGCAGCCAAGCTGGAAGGGCAGGGCCCTCTGAGCCCTCTGACATCAGACACGGAGCTACAGGATTGGGGGTTTTCCTGCTTGTTTTTAGTCTCGCTTTGGTCTAGTGTTTCCTCACTATGTTCCTTTCCTTCGCTTTTGGAATGGTCATGTATAGTCTGTACCACTGCATGTTAGAAGTATATAATTTACTTTTTTATTTCATAGTTGGTTACAATTAAGAAATTGACTTGAATATCAGAAGAGACTGGACTTTTAAACAGTGTTGAGACTGAAAGACGATGGGAAGTTTTGAAGCTGTACTAAATGCACTTTGCATTATGATATGGCTATGAGCCCATGGGAGTCAAGAAGTAGAATGCAGTCGTTCAAATTGTGAGAGCCAAAGCTATGTTTTAAGTTTTAATTACTGTGCCTAAGAGATCCATAAAACAAAAATGACTCTAGTTTGTAAGTCCCTTGCCCAAGGACGGATACTTCCTGAGTTGCTGGAGGTTATTGTTGATATAAGATAATAAGCCACATTTTTTTCACTTCCCTGAACCAGCTTAGTTGACCCATCTGCACCAGATCTGCTTGATCACACATAAGCAGGAGATGGTAGGCAGGAAGTGTGTCAAGATTATGCTTGCCCCTGATTGGATGAGGGCTGGGAGTATGTAACCTTATGGGTTTGCCTTTGTAAGCACTGGCCAGTGTAGCTCATGGTCATTTTCTGGGAACCCTGGAACGGACCCAGCCAGAGTCCACCATCTTGGCCTATAGTTGTTCGGTTTGGCGAGGGCCCTTGGAAGAATTAGGTTCACTCCAACATGAATTAGGTTTAGCAAAAGCAGCAGGTGAATCAGCTTCTGGTGAACTGACTGCCAGTTGCTTTACAGAAAGCGTCTTTATTGTTACACCGTATACCCCTTTAGTAAGCAATTTCTGCATACCAACATCTCTTATGTGGAGTTCTTTGAAAGAACCATTTGCCTAAGCAATCCTCAGCCATGAGACCTCCTGGTGTCCTCTCATTACTAAGTTTTGCAAAGGCTCTGCAGTCCTTCAGGAAGAGCTCAGATAAGAATCAAACCCTTCAAATAAAAAGTAACCACAAAAGGGTAGTCCAAAGCCTAGGTGCTAACACTCCAGAATTCAAGCCAGATGCAATGTCTCTGTGGGATCTCTCACTAAACTGGCCAGTATTGAATTAAAACTTGCTTCAAATTTGGCTCAAACTTGTGGTAGTGGTCTTATTCTCGCCCACTGGGATTAACAGAATGAGAATGGTTCCCATAGGCGTATAGATTTAATACTTGATTCCCATTTGGTGGATCTATTTGGGAAGGATTAGGAGGTGTGGCTTTGTGGGAGGAGGCATGTCACTGGGGGCAGGCTTTGAGGTTTCCAAAGACTCTTGTCATTCCCGGTGTCTCTCTACATCCTGTTTGTGGTTAAAGATGTGAGCTCTCAGCTGCTCTTCAACTGCCTGCCTCTTGCTGCCTACACTCCACCATCATGGGCTCTAAAACCATAAGCCCAACAGAAACCATTTCTTCTGGGGTTGCCTATGAGAGCACTAGAAAAGCAACAAATACAAGAAGTAGCCTTTAAGATGTTCCAGAGGACTCACTGGAACGTTTAAAAGTTAATCAAAGTAAAGGTCATGAAAAAGAATTTAAAATTTGATTTGGTGAAGTTCGTCAAAAATATCAAAAGCTGCCGGCATGGTGGCACATGCCTTTAATATCAGCCTTCAGGAAGCAGAGTAGGCAAATCTCTGAGCTTGAGGCCAGCCTCATCTCTGTATTAATTGCAGTGTGTCGTGGAGAGAGTCTTTTCTGCCTTGTCTAACTCTTACCACAACCTGAAGCTTTGCAGCTCTGTCTCTTCTGCGGGATGCCTACTGGTGGTTTGAATAGAAATGGCCGCCACAGGCTCATCTATTTGAATGCCTTGTCATTAGGGAGCAGCACTACTTGACAGGGATTAGGAGGTGTGGCCTCGCTGGCGAAGGTGTGGCCGTGGGGTTTCAGATGCTCGAGCTCAGCCCATTGTTTCTGCCTGCTGCTTTCAGATCCAGATTCATAGAGACAGGATGTTGGCTCCATTCAGTCTGAGGATTGGTAGAGACAGGAGTCCCCCCGCCCCAATGTGGTCTGAGATTTCATAGGGGTACGAAGTCTCTAGCAGCTGCTGCTCTGCTGCTCTGGTCGTTCAGCTTTCATTCTCAGCGTCTAACTCTGGGTTTTTATTGTTAGGACTAATTAGGATCATGCTTCAGAGAAAGAGTGGTGATACTTTCAGCAATAGACTCAACCAAGCGGAAGGAAGAGAAAGCCGGTACTACAGAGCACATAGTTGCAGAAATACTGTGTTCAAATACTGGCAAGAAAAGAATAAATGAGCATGATTACAATGTCCAGGGATTCTGGATTCCAGAAAAAGATGCTATGGTATGGAAGAAGGGAATGAGATATACTAAGGCACAGAGAATCTAGTCAGTGAATTACAGCAGACAATTTCTCAGCTATAGAGAAAGAAATAAACATTCCAACAGGAGAAGCATTTAGAATTCCAAATAGACATCGCCAGGAAAGAATCTTTCCATGACTGATTACCATCAATGTACAAGCACAAAGCAGGAGGGCTGCCTGGTACATGCTCAGTCTGCACAGCTGGAAACTCATGTGCAGGTCTGAGCAGAAGCAGGTGTAAGTGGGACCAACCAAAGGAAACATGGCTGCCAAAGCGTTTGAGTGCGTGGGTAAGTCAGCCTTACTTCAGCCGTTCCAGGCGATGCATTGAGCTCTGCCTTAGGTAATAAGGATGCTGGGCACGGAACTGTCATCTTTAACTGCTTCCATGAAGATAGAGGGAGGGACTCACTTTTTCATCCCATAGGCACAGAAACCACTGTGTTTGACTTCCTTTCTCGAAGATGTAACAACCCAGTCATCATAGAAACAAAGTGTTGTGGAAGGTCAACATCACACTGTGCATTCTCTCCCAGCCAGCGTCCTCAAATCCATGGTAAAACAATCACCATGGAGACCAGGATTGGGACATTCCATGGTCATACAGTCACCATCACATGATTACCTTGTTATTCTGTAAAAATGGAGGAGCTTTAGTCTCACGTGTGTGTGTGTGTGTGTGTGTGTGTGTGTGTGTGTGTGTGTGTGTGCGCGTGCACTCGCACATGTGTGTAAATCAAACAACAACCCACAGGAATCATTTCTCTCTTTTCACCACTTGGAGTTGGGGGTGTAACTTGAGTCATTAGTCTTTACCACAAGCCCCTTTACCCACTGAACCATCTTGATGGCCTGAGATTAGATTTTTAGAGTTGCTGAGATGGCTGAAATTTGTGGGGCAGAGTCCTGACAACGAGAGAGCTACACAGAAAAGGTATCACAGAGGTCCAGAGCACAGTCCCTTAAGTCTCAGACTGAATGGAGGTTGATCTGTGAGTGGAGAGGTGGATCTGAGAAGCATGCCCAGGATACTGAGGGGTTCTGAGCTGCAGAGAGTCACAGTACTGGGTGACATCAACGTCCCCAGCAGCAAGAGTGACAGAGTAATGGAGAATGAAACTGTTCTCTGCTGAGATGTAAACAAGTTTTCTGTTATGGAATAATCTTATTGTATACTGTGAAGATGAGCCTTTGCCAAGGTGCCTCCTGATTGGTTTAATAAAAGGCTAACTGGCCAATAGGTAGGCAGGAAGAGGTTAGGTGGGAAAGCCAAACCGAGAGGACACTGGGAAGAAAAAGAACAGAATCTCAGAGTTGCAAGTCAGACACAGATGATGAATATGCCATTTTGGAAAAAAAGGTACTGCTGCATGGTAAAGCATAAATATGGGATAATTTAAGTTGTAAGAGCTAGTTAGTAACAAGCCTAAGCTATTGGCCGAGCATTTATATATAATATTAAGTCTCTGTTGTTGGGAACTGGCCGTTGGTCCTGATGAAAAACTCTACCTACAGTTCTCTCCTGTAGATAAGGAACAATCAGGACCAGCCCTGCCAATGTTAAACACCAGCCTCCTGAGGTGCGGGGAAAGGGATCTCATGTGTTGCAACCTCCATTCTTCGGTGTGGCACTTAGGGAAGGTGAAGAGATTAGTTCCTTCCCCATGGGAATGAGCTGGATATAGTGGAGCTTTCCAGCTCTCCCCACTTCTCTCCTCAAATGCTCTAACCACTTCTGCAGCCTTACAGAGGTCCTTACCAGATGTGGCCGCTGATCCTGGACTTCCCAGCCTTCAGAACTTTGAGCCTAAGTCAGTGATTTCCCTTACAAATGATACAGTCTCAGGTGTCTGCTATAGGAACAGGAAGTGGATTAAGATGATTAAATGATGAAGTTGGAAGAAAAAAACCTTAGTGTTTCACTTTTTTTTATTAAAAAATGGATTTTTTTTCTATAATCCCAATAGAACACATGACAAAACTAAACTACAATAAGAAGTTAGGGTGCAGGAGGCCGGCAGTGAACCGAGTTCCTTTCTTTGAAAACAGTGAGTCTATGCTTTGTTGAGGGTTGCTGAGGGAGGCTGGTTCCATTTTCCTGGAGCTTGATCCTGGGAAGTCCTGTACTGAAGTGGCCCTTTCTGTAACAGCTTCAGCAACTGCAAGCGTCCTCAAAACCAGGGCAGACCCTTCTGTCCCCCTTTGGCCAGGAAAATTCACCCCTGTGGTCAACTTTCCCAAGGCCCCCTGTTATCCAGACCCTCCTGGCTTTGGAGGTTCAAGGACCCAGTGATCTCTTACTGTCCTTGCCCCTGTACCCCAACCTAGAAATCTCTTTTTCTTTGCTGGGTCCAAGTCCTCAGCCCACCTGTGCTTCAGAATTGCAGACTCACGAACTCCCCAGCTGCTGGGGCCTGGGCTTCTCTGGGCAAGTGCTTCTCGACCCAGTGGCCCATAGCCTATGTACTCCAGACAGCCCTGAATCTCCTGGGTTCTCAGTGGGCAGCAGGCTGGGCCGGAGCTACAGAGGAAGCATCTGCTGTGGAGACCGGTTCTGTCAGGGATCAGGGGTCTGTATGCCTTGCCAGTGGTACTCCAGTTCTCAAAGAAGTGGAGGCTGGCTGATTGGGAGCGCATGAGAGTCATTGAAAAAGCAAGAGGTGAAGACGCATGGGGCCATGAATGTGGGGCTGAAATGCGAGACCTGACACAGTGCCTGCTTGCCCCGCGGGAGCTCCGGCACAGAGATGCACAAGGTTTCTTGCTAGACAAAGACATTGTTGCACAGAAAGAGTGGACCATTGTCATATCCAGTCATTGGCTGGCGCCTTCCTCAGGACAGCCTAGCTCCAAAGCCGAAGCTGACCCTGAGCACCACCAGGCTCTGTTCACTTCACATCTAGAAGCTAGACAACTGTTCTTTCTTGAGGAAGAGTCAATTGGTGCAGCTCTGGCTGTGGGGAGCAGCTTCCCAAGTCTCTGAGGTTCCCTAGAAGAGAGAAATTAAGGGCATAAAACACAGAATACCTTCACTGTGACCTAGAATTACATGGACTTAGAGTCTCAGCTTGTCTCCATCACTATAGATTTAATTTCTGTCCTATGTAGGGTTTCTGTTATTGGGATAAACACCATGCCCAAAAGCAACATGGGAAAGGAAGGATTTATTTGGCTTGTAGGTTACAGTCCATCCTGGGTGGTGGCATGATGGTAGTGGGGGACAGGAACACACAGGCAGGAACTTACGACAGGAACCTGGAGGCAAAAACTGAAACAGAAGCCATGGAGGGGTGCTGCTTATTGTCTTGCTCCCCATGGCTTGCTCAGTCTGCTTTCTTACACAAACCAGGACCACCTGCCCAGGGGTGGCATTGCCTTTCATGGTCTGGGTCCTCCCACATCAATCATTAGTCAAGAAAATGCCCTACAGACTTGCCTAAGGGCAATCTGATGGAGTCATTGTCTCCATTGAGCTTCCTCTTCCCAGATGACTCTAGTTTGTGTCAGGTAGACACACAAACAAGGGATGTGTGTGTGGGGGGTGTGGGTGTGTGTGTGAGTGCTACCTATAGGTATGTGCACTGTGTGTGCCTGGTGCTTGAGCAAGCCAGCAAAGGATACTGGATCCCCTGGAATTGGAATTTTGGACTGTGTGAGCTGCCATGTAGGTGCTTGTGGCTGAAACCAGGTAGTCTACAAGAACAGCAAGCTCTCTTAACTGCTGAGCTGCCTCTCTGGCCCCCTACATTTCTGTTTGTTCTGCCCCCCTTTTGCCCTCCAGTGGCCACTTTGTGAACCGAGTGATTGTCCTGTACATCTGGGCCTCTGCGAACAAGGAAGATATACCATCTAGGTCTTTTGAAGGAAAGCTAAGGGTGGCATGTGATGGTAGGAATGTGGCAGACAAAAATGACCAAGGTCCTATAATCTCCTCCAGGTCACGCTTCCAATGACCTAAGGATCTCCAATGAAGCTTCATTTCCAAAAAACTCACCGCCTCCCAACAGCACCACCTTGTAAATCACGCCTTTAACAAACAGACCTTTGGGGAGTATTTACCTCATCCATAGCACTCCTTTACAGCTGCTGTGGCCCCCACTGGCCTCTAAATTATCAGTATCTAAACTAGATTACTTCCCAAAGTCCCAGAGGACTCTACCTCCCCAGCCTCTTGAATCATTAGTCACAACTGTATGCAAGGCATGTAGAATGATCCCAGACCCTCTCCATGGAGATTTCATGAAATCCTGCCAGCTACCTTCTCATTGACCCTGAACAGAGCCAAACCCAGACTATGCTCTTTTCTGGGGCAAGAACTCCAAAGGATGTCGCCCAAGTGTACCCCCAAGGACTCTGTCAAAATTTGGTTCACATTTTCTGGGGGTAAGCCAGATACCAAAATGTTCCTGTATTGGAGGATGACAGAAAATAGCCAATTCCTACAACTCAGAGAGAATCACTTCAAGCCTGGTTACCACCTTGTGCTTTGAATAATGCCTTTATACATAGTAAGCATTTGCATTACCATTTAAAAGCATAATTAAAATTGCAGCAACATGTATATGTGTTCATTAATTCAACTGAACTCCTGAAAGGTTTTGAGCAGACAGGTTCCACCATCAGACAAAGAGTCTGAGGTAGTCGCAGTAAGTCCAGCTTGGTGAGAACTATGGGCCATTAAGCTGTAACTGGGAAGGCTGGCAATAAAGATTAACTAGTTAGCCTGGTATTTGTGGCCTTTGCAATGCTACTGGAATGACAGGTTTTTATATCTAAGCATTTATTTCAGATTACATTTGTAATCCAACATGAAGGGAAGTCAGGGCAGGAGCTCAAAGCAGGAATTGACACCAAGAGCGTGGACGAATGACAGTGACTGGCTTGCTCCCCGCGGCTTGCTGAGCCTGCTTTCTTGTCCAGCTCAGGACTGCCTGCCCTGGGTGGCATCACTCACAGTGGGCCAGGCCCTCCCACATCAATCATTAATCAAGAAAATGCCCCCACAGATTTGTCTACAGGCCAGCATGACAGACGTTTTCTCAATTGAGGTTCCTTTTTCCCAGATGACGCCAGCTTGTGTCAAACTGACAAAATAACTAGCCAGAACAATTTGTCCCTTGTCAACTTGACCTAAAACACATCACTATTCAACTATAACCTCTGCTTTCTTATTTATTCCCAAGATGTTAAGTTAATATCACAATATAAAGCACTCTATAACTTTAAAAGTCCCATAATCTTTAAAAATGTAAACACTTTAAAAATTCAGTCTCTTTAAAATACCCTAAGCCTGTCAACTGTAGGCTTCCTTAAAATAAAATAAAAAAAACAAGTAAGTTAAATCTTTTCTTATTCCAAGAGAGAAGAACCAGGACACAGTCACAATCACATCAAAGTAGAACCCAACTCCTCTCAGGAGTGGAAATAGCTCTGAGTCTGATTCCTGAGACCATGATCCTCTGGGATCCTCGGTCATAAGCAACCCTGTTTCTCTGGCTCTACCTCCCACAGTACATACAGTTTACCTCACAGAGCAGACTGGCCCTGCTCCACAGCTGCTGCTGTCTTGGCAGTAGCCCTGCTGTGCTAGTATCCTAGCATCTCCAATATGCTGGCGTCTCCACTGAACCGAGGCTGCCCTTTCACCAGTGGCCTCTCCTGGCCACTCACAGTGCCAACCTCAGCTGCTCTCCATGGCACCTTCATGCCTTCAAGACCACTACCACCTGGATGACGCATACACCTCACCAAATCCAACTGCCAGAACAATGTGCAGCCTGGAACCCTTATATATAACTCACATCCGAACCCATATGGGTCTGCCAGGCCCTCTAGCACAAGGTAATGATGAGATTGATAAATTATTGGTAGGAAATGTACTGGAGGCCTCAGAATTTCATAAAAACATCATGTCAATAGTAAGGGTTTAAAAAAAGGATTTTTTTCCCATAACCTGACAACAAGCCAAGGAAATTATGAGGAAATGTCCTAGTTGTTCTTCATACAGTCAAACTCCACTACCAGCAGGATGTAACCCAAAGGGTACTTAGAGGAATGAAATCTGGCAGATGGATGTGTTTCATTTTGTAGAATTTGGAAAACTTAAATATGTACACCACACCATTGATACTTATTCAGGATTTCAATGGGCAACTGCTCTGAGTTCTGAAGAGGCTGATTCTGTAATCACTTATTTGCTAGAAGTTATGGCCATCATGGGTATACCTGTACAAATTAAAACTGACAATACTCCAGCATATGTCTCCGGTAAAATGAAACAGTTTTTTGCTTATTACAATATAAAACATGTTACAGGTATACCACACAATCCTATAGGCCAAGCAGTCATAGAAAGATCAAATTGAACTCTAAAGGATATGCTAAATAAACAGAAAGGGGTAACAAAAACCCTCAGAAATAGATTACATAATGCTTTATTAACTTTGAATTTTCTCAATGCTAATGAGAAAGGAACAACAGCTGTGGAAAGACATTGGATAACAGAAAAAAAACTACAGAATTAAATCAGTCTATATACTTCAAGGATGTGCTGACCTCATAATGGAAACCAGGATATGTATTGTGTTGGGGATGAGGTTTTGCTTTTATTTCTACAGGAGAAGATAAGGTGTGGATACCATCAAAATTGATAAAGGTTTGATTTGAACAAGAGAGACCTCTTAATTAGAAGAGGTGATAGTTCATCAACCAGTATGATCATCTGGAAGTAATTTTAAGAACACGACAACCACATTCCCAACAGGTGGGGTGGGTGGTTTTTGGTCTTTCAATGGGTTATGGATAGTTGTCATTGTTTAGGATGATTGGTTATGAGTTGTTAATTGTTAATGGTCAGGAAAAAAGCTAAACAAAGGAAATTAGATTTGGGTTTCTTGTTTTAAAAAAAAGAAAGAAAAAAGAGGATATTAATATGATAATATAAAGGGTAGATTATTGAATTTACTCTGAAAAGAAAAAAAGGAAGAATATGGATATAAGATTTTTTAAAAAGTAGACTATTGAATCTACTTTTAACAAGCAACTACTAGTTTTAAATACTTTACATTAGATTGGATTTTTGTATATTGTATGCAAATTATATATTGATACAAATTTGAGACTGATTCTGTTAGAAAATACTAAACATATATTTCTAATCTTGTTCAAGATATTGTACTCATACAATTCATTTAACAATGTAATGCAAGTTACTAGTACTTGAAAGTTATTACCAACTAATTAGGATGTAAAGAAATGCAAATTAGTATTTAGTCACCTATTACATGTGAACATATAGTCAGGTTAGGTATGTTTTTAAGATCAAACAGAGATATATCTTAGATATACAGGTCATCTTCAAACACTTTAGAGATCTACAGAATATGGCATTTAAAATTTTTAATAACATAGATTCTTTTTTTTTTATGGCAATAAGATAAGTTTGCTCCTGGCAGCA